AGGGTGTATACCTGTTTCCACAGCAACGGCAACGTTGGCCACTATCATCCAATCAAAATGGCTCCTGGAGCCAACTGCAGCCCGAACGAGGAAATGAGCAGTGAAAAATCCATCGATGGATGCATTATTAAACAAGCGAGAATATTTTTTTATCTGCGAGCCAGATGCAATCGTGAAAAGAGCCATATATGGCTCGCGAGCCATAGGTTCCCGACCCCTGATTTAGAGCGTTCAACCAGCCGGCCATGCATGTTTTTGGAATGCGGGAGGAAACCGGAATACTCGGACAAAACCCACGCAGGCACGGGGGGAACATGCAAACTCCACACAGGGAGGCCGGAGCCAGAATCGAACCTGCACCTCTGCTCTGTGAGGTTGACGTGCTAACCACTGGATCACCGGGCCGCTCGTGGCAGTTTAAATTTAAGTATAAAATGTCAATTATCTAGAAATGAAAAACCACTTGGCCGTTCATATTGTTCTTTCAACAAGCAAAAAATACATTAACACTTTTTTTATCTGAATACACGGTTATTCAATTGAATTTTCAGCATTCATATTCGAATACCAAAATATTTGATAGCTGCAGCCCTGCTTTTTTTTTTCTCTTACAGTATAGTTTTTTTTTACCTTGTCTTTTTCCAGCGCTTTTGATTTTGCAATCCCCTTACCGTTCGTAGGTAAAACAATGTGAAAGTTATTCCGCTCATGTTGTCTCTTTCTGTGCACAAGTTTTTGGTCGGCTGTGTTCTTCCGAGTTCCGTGTTCACGCACATTTCTTCCAATCTGCTGTGTGTGTTTCTGTTTCAACCGTTGAATAAGTTAGTTGTTCTACTACCGTTAGTTGTAAAAACCTAAGAACATATTGTACTTAGCAGCAGACTTTTTTTTATTCGCTAAAATATGTTCCACCCAAAACTGAATCTCCCTAACTTATACTTGAATTTGAATTGCTAAACTTGAATAAGTGCATTGAAAAAAATGAATCTAAATGACATAGATTGAATTTTATTTCAATCTTTACTGTAAAAAAAATGAATCTCACTGAAAATTCACTTCTGTATATTTTTTCATGTTCACTTTTACAAATATAATCTTTTCCACACAGATTCCGTATGCTTGACTTTTCACATTCAGTTTTATCAGTATTTCAATGCACAAATTCAGTTTGTGTGACAAACATCCGGGTACTTGATGAGCAATTGATTGCAGAACTCCTCTTTGTCCACTTAGTTCGTTTTGAGCACGTGACACAAGCTCTCCGAAAAAAAAAAAAAGTGATCTCCTAAGCGACTCTTACCATTTCTAACACCGGGAGGGATGAAAAGGTGCTTCCTTTCAAATTTAGGAAGTGACACTGTGGATTTAACGAATGTATCAATACTAAGCCCAGTAGTGAGTACGTCTCGATTTTCGGGTTGTGTTTGTGTGGAGTCCAGCGTCTGTAAACGGATCACATAAACTTAATCATTGCAAGCTTGATGAAATACATTCATCACATACTAATACAGTATCAGCATTACGTTTTGAAGTTGGGCATTTGAACCTACGGTGTAAATCCAGCTTCAAAATCACTGTCTGGTGATGTTCACAACATTTACAAATGCCATCAGTATTTCTATGACACTAAATATCCTTTTTTTTTTTTTTTTGTCTTCCGCAGAACGACGTGGTTGTGTCATGGCGACCTTCTTCCGAGTTCCCAGGGAATGTGTGAGATACCTCAAACTCATTATATTGCACACTTGAGTGAGAAATGAGCAGGGCGTAAAAGCGGCGTTGTTGCAGATGCATATGCAGAATCCAAAAAGGCAGTTTCATTATAGCTTTTTCTGATGAGAGTCTCCAGACATTTTCGGGGGTCCAAGGAAGGTGGAACAGTAGCCCACTTTCTCAAACTGCTCACCCTATTATGTACTGTATGAAGCTTGTTTCTTGCTTTGTGATGACTGACAACTTTTTAAACATTATTTGTAGGGAACTTTAATTTCACAATAATTTATAGGTACATATACAGTACTTTCATTTTTGATGGAATACTAATATTTCATTGGAACAAAATTGAAGAACTTATAAATGCTACATTTTGCCACAAATTTTTCTCAGCAGCTCCAGTTTCATCCCACATTCCAAAGACATCAACCTGCGTGGCAGGTTGATGGAACACTCTTAATCAGGGGTGGCCAACCCACGGCTCGCGAGCCGCATGGGGCGCTTTGGCTGGTTCAATGCAGCTCCCGGGCTTTCACATGACAAGTGTCATTCAAACAACGGCGCTAAATACGCAGAACTAACTATGTCAGCCTTTCATCAATCCCGTTACTTGATTGACATACGGGGCAACCCACCAAATGACAACCAAATCACCGGATTGACATACAGGACGACCAATTAGATGACAACTGAATCACCGCTCATGCGCAAACAACGGTGCTCAGCGCTAAGCGCTACGCTAGTCAACTTTAAAGGTAGGGGTGCCCAATACGTCAATCGCGATCAACCCGGAGCCAGCGGACTGCTACCAAGTCGAGCGCGAGCGTTGGTTGGAGGAAATGGGGGGTTGGAGGGGGGGTATGTCTGTGTGTTTCGATTTCGTTCGTGTTCAGTGAAGTTCCGGCTTTCGCTCATCTCGGTGTCTGTGCGTGCCTGCGTATGCGTACTTGTGCATGTGTGTGTGTGTGCGCGCGCACGCACGCACACATGTGGCTCTTTGCAGTAACACAGTAAAAAAAAAAAAATTGTCTCTTAGTCTCTGACTGGTTGGCCACCCCTGCTCTAAATTCTCGCTTGGTGTGAGTGTGAGCGCGGATGGTCATTCATATATGTGTGCCCTGCGATTGGCTGGCAACCAGTTCAGGGTGTCCCCCGTCTACTGTCCGAAGACAGCTGGGACAGGCTCCAACACGACCCTTGTGATCTTAAAATGCATCAGCTTCAAAAAACAGTTGTCTCCAATAAACTGCTTGAATGTCAGTGCAACACAATGCCGTTTTCATCACCTAGCCCCCTTTCCAGATCAACAATTGAGTCCCACACTGCCGATAATGTGATAATACACCGTTAGAAAAAAGTAGGTTGAGGTTAGTTACCTCGTGTTTTCCATAAGGTGGCAATCACGACCTATTACTGTCATGTATGATATACTTCCACGGGAAAGACTCTTCGTAAATTGAACCGGGAAGTTCAATGGCTTTGCTGCAAAATACCTTGTTAACATTTTTTTTCCGTTCTACTATGACCAAGTAAACTGTGTGTCAAGCCTGTGTTCTTTTTTATTGGTAATCCATGTTAAATAAAAGAGTGATCACGCTAGTTCCACGCCTGAGTTCTGGAGGGTATTTTTGAGTGTGAGTTGGCAGGATTTGAACGATGGACAATTCTGCTGAAGGCATTATGCATTTTGCGCTTCCTCTTCTACGTCGCTTACGTCAGGCTCATCATCGATTTATCAACGCAGACCCGGAGCGCCCTCTTGCGGTTTAATGTGAAAATAACATGTGAAATGATATACTGTAATAATATGTTAATAATTTCACACATACGTTGCTCCAGAGTATTATTCGCGTCCTCGGCCAAACTATGAAAAAAAAACTGCGATTTATAGTCGTCGAAAATACAGTACTGCAACCCTAATCCACAAATGACAGCCATTGTTCACCATTCAGAGTTGATTTTCAACATACAATTGTTCATTTGAATCCGTTTTTGAACTCGGTGTCCTTGTATGAAGGTAGTGAGGTGTTCAGTGAGTTTTTCGTGCCATATTCTCCAATCGAGTAGACCATGACATTCAACAATCTCTTGCAAACAAAGCGGTGAATGAACTACAGGGGTACCTCTACTTACGAACGTCTCTTCATGCGAAATTTTCAAGTTACCAGACGCCTCAACAGGAAAATAGTGCCTCTTGTTATGAATGAAATTTCAAGACGCGAAAGGTAAAAATACACCATGCCCTGCTACTCGCAGCTCCGAGTTTCCTGAACGCAACATTCTACTATCTCTACTTACGAACGAAAGTTACGAAACGCCTCAATGTGAAAATATTGCCTCATGTTACGAAAGAAATTTCAAGAGGTCACAGGTAAAAATACAGTCCGGGATACTATTCAAAGGTCTGAGTTTCCTGAACGTAACATACTTTTAGCTGCTCTGCCATTGGCAACTACCGAGCATCATCCTGGCATCCCGTTGGCTAAGAGGGACCTCTACCGTTTGTGTCTATAGATAGATCAACAGATATGTGTCAATGCAGCGTTCTTATCATTCGCCCTTTGGGCCATGAGGTGTTCCGATATTTTTACGTAAATGTGAATCACCCAGAAAAAGTGTTCATCAGTCCGGGGATCGCTCACTATGCTGATATTTGCCTTGGACATTTTCAAAGGATTGTTAAAAGCCGACAAAAGCAAACGTCCTTAGATCAGTTCTTGACAAAATGCCAGGCAAAAAACAATTCTGAGACAGAACATGGACTAAAGAGGGCAAAAAACGATGAGGACGCAGTTAACCCTCATATTATGTTGAAAAAAAATCATGTTGATTATGTTGTGGGTCATTTTGACCCGTACTATAAAAATCTACACAAAATAGTCAAAAAACAGGTTACACCAGTCACAACTTTGTTTAAGATGATGTAAACATTCAGAAAAGAGACAGACAACAGATTTTTAATCCCAACAGTATATTTAAGAACGGTTTAGTTGAAGTTTTTCCATGTCACGTTTCTTTTTTTCATTTAACTCTTCTGAGATTTTCAATGTTTTATCTACAAAGTAATGCACTGGCAGTTGTATGTGTGCTGTCAGATTGTCAAGTCCCCCTTTGGTGGAGTTGAAGTCCAGGATCATTTATGGCTTCATGTCTTCTCTTATGCTCAGTGATGCATCTATGTGCATTGTGCTCATTACAAGAACATTTTTGTTTTTCTTTGGGCAGTATGAAACAACTGCTGCTTTCTCAGTGAAAACAAAAACTGAGGAATGCAGAGGTCTGCCCTGCATCTTCAGAATTTCACCGGGTCTTATTTCTTCTGACTGTTGCCAATATAGTCAGCTTTCTCTCCTGAACTTCATCTCCAAGGCCATACATTGTAAAGACGTTATGACTTTGCAGTTGATGAAGCTTCTTCAGCTGTAAATTTTCTGGAGCTCATTTTTGGTATGTTGGTCAAAGAAATGACGTGAGAAGAGTGACGAGTCACATGAGAGAAAGTTCCTGCTCTACACATACCTGGGTCTCTGGCAGTCACTGAGCAGTCAAAACTAAGTCCTGTTCATCAATTTGACATGTTTCTTTTGGATCTGAAAAGCTGCTTGCCCACACTAAAGTGCCTGGGTCAGAATGACCCCCAACATCATATTTGTATTCAAACTGTGCACAGACATCCCACTACACATCAGAGTGTCCAGATTTTACACACCAGTTCATGACCCTAGATGAGGAAAAGTCAATAAATTTCATGAAGAAAAAGAAAGGATAACCAGTGCTTTGGTCAACGCAAAAACTGAAATGGGTCAAATTGACCCTGAACATAATATAAGGGTTAAGTTAAATGACCGTTGTTTTTATTCTTTATGCTTTGTTTTTTTTTTTTGTTTGTTTTTTTAAATTATGCACAACACTCATTTATTGTGCAATAATCTAATTGTAACATGTATTTATGACATATTTTGATGCATTTTTATGCTTTAGAAAACAATGTCTGAATTTTGGGGGGGCTTGGAACGAATTAGGGCATTTACATGGAAAACGCATCTATACTTACAACATTTTCTACTTAAGAAATTTCTTCCAGAACCAATTAATTTCGTAAGTTGAGGTACCACTGTAGCTTCTTGAATCGATTGAGACAGAACGTCTTGCTTACAGACACATTTTCAGAAATAAATGTTTTGGTTCGGACACCTTATTTGTAAGAGATATCCTTTTCAGATGGCATGGTTAAAGTATAACTTGTCCCTCTTGATTAGTGATGTTGCTTGTTGTTGCTCCTAGAATGATTACAATATGAAGCAGTCTCCCGGCCTTATTTGTGTTTTGTGATTTGACTTCCGCCACAGCTATAAAGGGGATGGAGTTATAAATGACAGCCTGGAGAAGGTATGGGAGTGTCTGAAGCCGGTCCCGAAAGGGCTCAGAGTCAAGTGGGACAATAACGTGAAGAAGTTTGAACTTTTGGAACAAATCACAGAGGTTTGTATTTTATACCCGCTTCCTCTTTACAACTGAACTTGGTGTATGGATGGTTTTACAAAGCTATAAACTGTTTACAATATCATGGGTCAGGTCATTTAACAATTTAAGGCCTCATACATAAATCACAGTTGTGATCCAATATTCTTATGTGTTGCTTTGGTTTGGCCAGTATTCTTCTGTGTTGAATAAAAAAACGATTCATGGATTAACTGTGCTTCCTTTATTGTCTTTTTCAGTACAGTTTTAAATGCGTACGATTCATGAAGTAATATACATACTGTAAGTGTTTTAAAACAGTTCTCTGAATAATTGTCTTGTCTCCAACTCTTCTGCAGGACATCTCTATCTGCCGAACAGTCACGCCCTCAGCAGCTATGGGTATCATAGCGCCTCGAGATTTTGTCGATGTTATTTTAATCAGGCACTATGAAGATGGCACAATTTCATCCAACGGTGCGTAGTGATTACATGTGATTCCCTCCCTCCCCCCCCCCCCCCCCTTACCCCACCTAATGTGTTTTGTAATTTGAAAGATTCTTTTTGGACTGAAATAAGGGCTGGACTGATGGAGCTCATTGTTCAACTGCTATTTCCTCAAAGGAAACAAATCTAATAATGTTTTTTTTTTTCTTGACTTCTGTGACAATCCACCAGTCCAGGTTATGCAAACCCAATTACAAATAAATTGGGGTATTGTTTTAAAACTTGTATCAAAACAGAATACAATGATTTGCAAATTATGCTGAACCTACATTTAATTGGATACTCAATAAAAACAAGATATTCAGATTTCAAACTGATACACTTTATTATTATTTTTAGCAAAGAATTTTGTGGCTCCAACACATTTCAAAAAGCTGGGGCAGGTGGCAATAAAGAAAGTTGAGGAATGGCCATCAAACACCTGTTTGGAACCTCCTACAATTGAACAGGCTCACTGGGCACAGTTGGGTGCCATGATTCGTTATAAAAGGAGCTTTCCTGAATTGCTTAGACATTCACAAGCCAAACAGGGTGAGGTCCACCTCTTTGTGAACACCTGCATGAAGAAATCGTCAAAAAGGACCATGTTCCTCAAAGTACAATTGCAAGGAATTTCGGGATTTCATCTTCTACGGTCCATAGTACCATTAAAAGGTTCAGAGAATCTGGAGAAATTACTGCATGTGTGTGGAAAAATTGTGAACTGAACTAAATGCCCATGACCTTCGATCCCTCAGGCAACACTGCATCAAAAAAACGACATTGATATGTAAATGATATCACCACATGGGCTCAGGAACACTTCAGAAACAATTGTCAGTAAATACAGTTTGGCGTTACATCTGTAAGTGCAACTTAAAACTGTAGATGCAAAGCAAAAGCCATTTATATACATCACCCAAAAACGCCAAAGGCTTCTATGGGCACGAGCTCATCTAAGATGGACTGATGCAAAGTGGAAAAGCGTTCTATGGTCTGACGAGTCCACATTTCAAATTTTGGGGGAAATTTTGAGGGCGTAGAGGAAAAGAACTGTTATGGGATGCAAAGTTTTGCACGTGTTACAAACAGCGTGGCTTCGTAGTAAAAGAGTGCAGGTATTAGACTAGCCTGCCTGCAGTCCAGACCTGTCTCCTCTGGAAAATGTGTGGTGTATTACTAAGTGTAAAATATGACAACTGAGACCCTGGACTGTTGCACAGCTCAAGCTGTACATCAAGCGAGAATAGGAAAGATTCCCACCGAAAAAGCTTCAACAATTAGTGTCCTCGGTTTTCAAACATTTATTGAATGTTGTGAAAAGAAAAGGTAATGTAGCACGGTGGTAAACATGATCCTGTCCCAGGTTTTTCGGAATGTGTTGCAGCCATAAAATTCCAAGTTAATGATTATTTGCTTTAAATAACAAAGTTAATCAATTTGAACATTAATTGTCTTGTCATTGTTGTATATTCAATTAAACTTAAGGTGAACACGATTTGCAAGTTTTATTTATGTTGAACACAATGTTACAACTTCATTGGAATTGGGTTTGTACTACACACAATTTCAAAGAACACAATGACACATTATTGTGCACACAGACATTTGTGTCTTACTGCCTCACATGATGATTCAGCGGCGTGTCAAATGGCCGCAGTGTAGCACCAACTATTGCAAGAAAGACTCAATTTTTTTGTCTTCTGTATCAGTGGTTGGTATTTGGCCTCCTTCAAGAGAACCCAATACCTTGCAATAAGGCCGGTATCGGCCCGATATCAATACCCTGTATCGGTACTCACCGATCCCATGTAGTAACACTTTATTTCATGATGTGTGAACTGCAAAAAAAGTCATACTGTAAATGTGGGTTCTGAATGTGTGTTCTGTGATATTCCAACCAGCCACTAATGTGACTCATCAGGGCTGCCCCATTCAGTCTGGCTTTGTGAGAGGATTCAACTATCCGTGTGGTTGTATCTGTGTCCCGATATCAGCGTAAGTATATTGAGTATGCGCTGGTCCGTACGTAGGTGATCAGCTGTGATAATTGTCTATCTTCTGACTCAATATAGAAACATGTGCAACATTGCACCAATTACCGTTATCTTTCCTCTTTGCAGAGAGCCCAACAAAACCCAGGTCCTCACTTTCTTCCAGACCGACCTTGGCGGCTTTCTGCCTCGCTCAGTGGTTGACTCCTTTTTCCCCTCCAGCATGACAGAGTTCTACGGCAACCTGACCAAGGCTGTCAAATCTCTCAAAGACCTTTGAATTTCCATCCATTTTCTCTCTCTCTTGTCATCGTTAGCGTGGCAGGTGAGCTGGAAACTTTTGCAGTTGACATGCGAGGCGGGTTACCCCCTTGAAGGTTTGCCAGTCAATTGCAGGGATCATACTATACCGTAGCCAAAATGGTGGATATTTTGAGACCCAGATTCAGAATCCCGCTTTTATTTTATGCTATTTCCATCTACATGTGTGTCCGGCAACTCAGAACAGGGCAACTTTTATTTGAAGCCACCCGCTTTTCAAGTGAGCAAAAGTAATGGAACAGACATTATCAGATTAACTGACATTTGGTGGCGTAACTCAGTGGTCCTCAACCTTTACTCTGCCATGGGTCAGATCATACAAATCCATACCCTTTGCGGGCTAGAAACCATACCCTGACCTGACAGGGGTTGGGGGCCTGGGGAGAGAAGGCTGTGTGCTGGGGTTTGTTGTTGGGGGGGGGCTTTGTAGTGGCGGGGGTATGATTTCTGCAGGGACTGCAATGCTACAACACTAAAATCAAATCCACTGTGTTTTTCCCACAATATTGAATGACTTTTTAGACTTAGCAATGCAGTTAGCCACCAAATATGAAACTTTCAAGGCGCTTAAATGTGTTGACGAATCAGTTGAAGGCTTCATTGATGCAACGGAGAGCTCCTCGCCACATATTTTGCAAAGAATGGAAATTACAATCGACTGATGGAGTGAATTTCCTTCAAATCACAAATATTCACACACAAACGCTATGGAAACACACACACAGAGGTAAGATAACACTACTCAAAGGCACAAATTCTTCCCAGTCTGTGATTTGCGATTTCCATCCTTGCACGGGCACCACACTGCCCAAAATGCTCAGGAACAGCCTGTATTTTTTTTTTTTGTTTGTTTTTTCAATTGCTATTATTGTAATGTTTTTATTTACCCAATTACATATTTATTATTTCGTCCTTTCAAGTTGTATGTAAAGATCAAGGATTTACGCAATTCATGTTTGTGTGATAGCTCTGTTTAATTTTTCCCTCTTCTCTCAGCTTCAAAACGGTTTGCTTTTCTCCCGTAGCTAGCTCTTTTGGACTTCATACCGGCTTAACATCAAGTGCAGTTTTCACAGGTGCAACCCAAAGCAAGAAACAGGCACCATCTGATGTTTAACCCATCGATCTAAAAGGCAACCCCTAACCCGTCAGTCACGTGTTCCAATACTTTTGCTCATGTGAAAAGTGCATGGTTTCAAACAAAAGATGGCGAGTTGTTTTTACATGTATAGATGTAAATACCTTGAAAAAAAATACGCGCACACACGCACACACACACACGTGCGCGCAACATGGGCATGTGTTTCTGTTTTGAAAAAAGGCTATTTTGATAGCCTTCAACAGTCAGAATTGAAGCTGTTTGATTTATCTTGTGTGTTACCTTGGTCATGTTGTTTCCAATGTAGAGAGTAAAGCCTCTTTTAGATTGCCAATCAAAATGTCTTTTTTTCTGTTACGACTCTGTGGTGAAAGCAAGGAAGTATATCCATTAGATGTACTTTTTGAATCATAACTGCGTAGAGTCAAAAATCCTGAAGATCATTGATAGTTAAGCATGTATATATAACGTGTAATCTTCACCGTAGCTCTTTTTTTAAACTACCATTCCGTTGCTGTCCTGTTAAATACAAGATTGTCCATTTTTAAAAATTTTAACGTAAATGGGGTGTGTCTACGTTTTGGACATCTCATTAACGTTAAGATTTTTTTTTTTAATGACAAAAATGGACACTTGTGTTTTTCACACGACGACGGCGATTTGTTATGCCTTCTGAGTCCTGACATCATGCCTTGACTGTAACTGTCTGCCTGAGATGATACGACCATATGAAGTTGTTGTATGTGTGTATTTTGTCAGAATGATCTAAGTTTGGTCTGCATCAACTAATTCATTTCACACCAAAATAGTTTGACTTCATTACAAATATGGACTGACTAGAAGTCAGACATTTTCCTTCATTTTGTTTACACAAGGCTATTGTGTGTTAAAAAAATCAGGTGGCATGTCACTCAGTACATGAGTACCGTATTTTCTGCACTATAAGGCGCATTGGATGATGAGGGATAAAGAATAGAAGCTACAATAGTGGCTGCTGTTGTGCTACGCATCCACTAGAGCAGGGGTGTCAAACTCCGGTCCTGGAGGGCCGCTGTCCTGCATGTTTTCCAAGTCTCCCTGTTGCAACACACCTGATTCAAATGAACAGGTTCAATGTCAGGCTTGCACAGGGCTTGCTGATGATCTGATCATTTGAATCAGGTGTGTTGCAACAGGGAAACTTGGAAAACATGCAGGACAGCGGCCCTCCAGGACCGGAATTTGACACCCCTG